CAACGACTTTCAGATAATCTTATATGAAACACTATTCATTAAGCTGGGATTCTTGAAGAATGTGCTTTAGGAAGTATAATACGAGTCCTTCCCATTGTTTGATCAGTCGTTTTGCGGCAGGACCAAACACCAGTCATCTAGTTGATGAATATTTCATAAATTTGCTGCATGGCAAATTAAGTTTCTCTTGAATTTCCGTGTATTCATCCCACCTAGAGGGCCACCCATCAAAAAAGCTGTGTTGCTATGATGAGATCACCACCATCTCTGCCCAACTCTTTCAGGCCTTTCACAAAGGCATTGTGGATTGTATGAATGCTGCAAGTCCCTATGTTGATGAGGCCTTTTTTGTGAGTTGTCAGAATTTCCTCATTTATGAGACGCAATACTTTGTTTATGTTTGGTCCATTGCATCCAATCATCAGTAATTTATGAAAAGGTAGCTCAATGGAATTCTCGATGTTGGTAAATTCCAGGAAACACCATAAACACGCCCTAGAGCTGGCTGATTTAATATGTTATACATCATTTTTTTATTGAGTTTGAAGGGAGTGCTTTCCTGCAAGGTAGAGGCATTTCAATGGGTAGCCCAATGTCATCTATAATATGTGATTTGGTGTATGACAACTTGAGAGTGCTATTCTTCCTGTATTCCAAAAAGATATTATTCTATACTCCAGATACATTGACGACATATTCATTCTGTGGAGAATTTAACAAAATACCCAGCAATTCTTAAATAATATCAATGATAATAACTTTGGTTTAACTTTACGGCTCCACCAGGAAAGCTACAATAATGTTCATTTCCTCGATATTAATATCACCTGCAAGGAAGGTGAAATATGGACAAACATTTACCGCAAACCAGGTCTAAATACTATCATCATCCCAAATCATTCGGTAGATCCTAGGCATGTTAACCCTTTAAAATCAACATCCCGAAAAACCTCGGGCAAGTTCCATAGAGTTTCATAAAACTCGGTACTTTCGGCCCTTTCCCAAAATTTTTTTTTTTGAATTTTTAAAATGTTTTTTAGGTCCCCAAATTTTTTCAGAATTTTTTGTCCACGCGAAAAAATTTTATCGCGATTTTAATGAGCCTTTGTTAAGGCTTGATTATGGCTCAATTGTTTTTCAATGGGAGTTTTTTATCAAATTTATTTCATGGTTCCTAAGTTGTAGCGCACGGATTTTTTTTCGGTAAAGTTATTAAAAGCTGCTTTTTGATGTCAAAAACGACCTCCGATAGTTTTTTAATTTTTTTAATTAATATATTTTATTTTATATTAATTTAATTAATTAGGGGGGTCGGAAATCGCAATTAAAATTTCAATTTTTTAAAAACATTTAAAAATATACGATTAATTCACCTTCACCCTACTTTAAACCCTTGTCCTCCCGAGACGTTTATGAGAATGCCCCGGGAAATCCGACTCCAGCTGTGTTCAAGGTCACCCAGCTGTGTAAACAATAACTCATCGGTGTTATATTTCACAGAAAGACGAGACAAAGGAAAATAAAGTTTGAAGCTTTTTCTTCAAAATTAACGCATTTTTTTCGTTTTTTTTCAGTTTAAAGTATTTTTTATGTTTAATTAAACATTAGCATTAAAAATTACGGTGTACGCTCCGGCGTATTTTTACGCCGGTGGTAAAGAAAGGGTTAAAGATGCAGCGTTATGTTCTGGGATTAATTTGTTTACTTATCTTTGCTTGTAAACCTCAATTTTAAACGTATCCGCCATTTTTTCAACAAATTTCCCGTAAGTCAATGCGCGACATTCACTAAAAGTCATGGGATGTTGTAAATGTGCGGTGCAAGGTTAATCAAGGCATAAAATAATTATTTATACCATTCTGTGGTATAAATAATAAATTCCTATTACAAATAAAAATAATTTATTGTTAATTTAAAATCATCGCTACGGCACCTCTAGTGCCCGTTTTCGGCATACTGTTACGCAGACAGATATGCATTGAATGGGTTATATAGATAGATTCTTAAGAAAAATGCTACACGAAATTGCAAATGCCAATAATCTATGCATCGCTTATCGACGTAATCCAACAGTTTACAAGTCATTAAGGGATGATAACAAGAAAGAAAATCAAAACTCTTTGATGGGCATTTACTCCATACCAATAAAAGACCACCAGTTTGATTCTGATATAGTTTATGTGGGAGCTACTTTGCAATCCTTAGAGCATAGGGTCATATAGGATCAAAGAACACAAGTACTCAGTTAACAAGAACCTAGACAGTATGATTCTAGCATCATTTGCCAACCAACATGATGTTAATGTTTTATGGGACCAGGCTTCATCATTAGGCCTACAATTAACAAACATACAATCAGGGATCTTGAAAAGCTAGATATATATAAAGCACAAGTAAAAAGCAAGGTGTATTAATCATAGAGATGCAGATTCTTTCTCAATAGCAGTATGTATTGTACATCCACCACACATTTTATTTCACCAAGTAAGTTTTTATTATTTTATTTTTAATTTTAGCCCTTATATTGTGGCTAGCGATTCGGAATGTAATTGCGATATTGAANTGTTTTCTAATTGGGGTGATGGATCGCAGTTGCTTGCTGTTCTGTTTACAATTATTCTAATTAAAACTGTTAATTGTGCCGATATTTATACTGATCAATTCGTAGTACAAGTTACTGAAGGGCCTGATGCTGCTAGAGAATTAGCTGATAAATACGGCTTCCAATTTTTAGGTCAGGTAGGTAAAATTTATTTTAATTCAGATTATTATCGAGAAATTTATTAATGAATTATTTCTCTCAATAAAATTTACAATATTCATTATTTTATGATATCAACATATGGAATACAACATGCAATTCAATATTTTAAGATCTTAATACACAGAAAAGTAAAATAACTAAGAATAGTTTTTATAAATAGATGACTTTTCCCCCTTTCCTATGAATAAACTTATGAAGTTGTCAAACATCTTATAAGTGTTAGATGGCTTGTATATTCCTAACCAGAAAAAGGATAGCTTTTTTCAGAAGCTTCTGTTTGTATAATTAAAATGATTTATTTGCTATAAATTTTGTATGGAAATTTCTTTTAGGTTTGGAAAGCAACGTGCGAGAATTGAATGTAAAATGCTACTGTTGATGTGATGTATAGTTGAGGTTAGAAATACGACTAGTGTGGTAAATGGTAAATCTAAAAACAAGAAGAAATTTAAGGAAATATTTGTATATGAAGAATAGAGAAATATGTACAAAGCTGGAAACTAGAAAATTGTTCTCCCAGTGTTTAAAAGAAATGTACCGGTATTTTAAATCAGAAATAATGATTAATGTTGCAACTAAAATTGAAATTTTAGGATTTATTCATGACACTGAAATAACATGTAAACTCCCCCCTGTTTTCTGAATTATTGTTATGTGATCTACCATAGTATATTTATTAGATATATGCATAAAATTTTGTATTTAATCTTAATTTGAAATTTTATTAATAAAATATATTTTTAATAGGAAAAATTGCTTCAAAAACAAAATATTAACGTTTATCTAAAAGTTAACTCAATGTAAATGATACTGTTTTTATAAACTTTATTATATTATTGATCATTTTATACATTAAATATATATATAAATATATATATATTGATGTATTTATATGAAAAAAATCTCAAATTCATAAGATGCTTTTTCAAATCATAAGAACTGTAATAATCAGTAAAAATATCATCCATTACATCAGAATTAAAAAATGTCAAATTTCTGGTCATATTATAATACTAACATTTCTGAATTAAAAAATGAATCAAAAAATTAAAACCAGTTTTCACAAATTGCAAAATTAAGAGTAAATTACATACATTTTGATAGAAATAATAAATGAAGCAAATTTCACAATAGTACAAATTTAATGCAAAACATTTTAATATACTTCGTCAATGTACAGTCATTCTCTGTACAGATTACAATGATGAAGCACGGTGTACATGGAAGGGTGAACAATGGTAAGTGCTACCTAATTGTAAAAAGGTCAAGAATACTAGAAAATTAGACCCACCAATGTCTTATTTTATACAAGCATCATCTCTGAACACAATGACAACAGGTACTGGTGTTGGACTTTTTTTTTCCCTCTTTATGAGTATTAGAATACATTTTGTAATTGTGCAATGGGTTCTGAGCAGAAGAACGGCATAAAATATTCTAATTTTACTGAATCATAGGAAATGTCTTAATTTTAACTATAAATTTATTACCAAATTTCAAACCACAAAAATTTGAAGCATTAATTAATTTGATGTAGAAAGTTATAGAAATAATAATGAAATTCTCACTGGTTCTTGGTTGCATATTTTTTTTTTTTCATTTTACATTTAACAATTCATTTTCTTTCAAGGCAGTTTTAACATTTGTACAATAGATAATAATATTTCTTTACAAACAAAATTATGTGAACAACAAAAATTTTAAGCCGCTATTAAATCTGTATGAAAATGTTTAACGAGCACATTACTCATTTACAATAGTGTACTTCATGGTGGAGAACCCAACATCTAAATTTAACCCAAATCCCAGCTGATTTTTCTAAGATATTATTGTAATTACTGTGGCACTGCCACCAATTAAGTATTTTACAATTACAACATACAAAGATAAGAAAAACTGGACAGTGTTGACACTAGAGTGTCCAAACGTGCGATATCATTTGACGAAGCTGTCGAATGACAATGCAAAAAACGTTTCTTGGTATTGTACTGCTTAATAGAGAGAGGGGAAGACATAATCCAATGAAGATTTTATGAAGTAATTAAAAATTAAAAATGTAAATAATTGTACATTGCCGTGTTTGACTGTAAGTCTGGACGGTGTACAAAGACAAAAAAATAATAATTACAAACATTATTAAATTTTTTCTGGTCTATCTATGTCTTATATTATCTGACCTTCTATAATGATATATATATATGTATATATGTTTACAAGATATATATATGTCATTTTATCTTGACCCAACTAAACTAGCCTGTGAATGATCTAGAACTCACCCTTTTACCAAATACTAACTACCAAATTTTTTATTTTTTTCTATTTTTTTTATAAGAAGTTATAATAGGAAAGAAAAACAATGAAAAAAATCCCCAATTATGTCAGGTTATCCCAGGTAATTTTTATAAACTGTCACCACAATTTTGGGAATGGGATATTAATAAAACAGTCAGGTATCGTATAAGAACAATGCCATAAAAACTGTGCTATTTTTGTCTTTACAGTCTACTTTGTATACCAAAGATCATAAAGCAGTATTTGATTTCATATTCACATTTGTGAGTTGTTTTATGGGATAATAAAATGATCTTCAAAGTATGGCTGGCAGATAATTTTTGAGCTTCATTACAGAGCCTACACTATTTTGATTTGCAGCTCATCTGATTGAAAGATGAAATAGTGATTAAATTCCTGATGTCCTTCAAACAGTGAAACGATAATTTTTCTTGCTGGGATTGCCATAAAATGATTAAAATATGTCCTGATTTATAAAGATTTCTTTTCATGAATTAAAACCACAGTGATGACAACTATTATCCATAAACAATATAAACAATTTCTTCTTTCTAACACTGCTATCTTTGTAATATAAGGTCATTTGGGATTATGAGGGTGGATGGTGTAGGCAAAGATAGCTCAAGCTCCACCAGAAGTGGAAAATGATCGGAAGGAATGTGCGGATGAGGACAACCGGCTATCTTGTTATCTCTCATCCATTCGGCATCCAACGGACCTAATACTCCCAATTCAGTAATGTGTCGTTTTGAATAAAATACATAATCTATAATTCTCTTGAAGTCAAAAGTGTAATTAGTGTATGGCATCACTCCATCATTATATGTTCTTGTGATACGAAATGGATGAGTATATTCATTTGTTGCATCACAATAATTAAATTTCCGTAAACTTTCTTTGTATCTAAAATCTTTAAAATCAGGATGACTGCCAGAAACTCTACCAGTTGATACGACCTCAATAGAGAGGTTGAGGCGCACGTTTTAAACGTGTAAACGTGTACGTGTGACGTTCGACGCCGCTTTCCCGTAAGCCTAAAAGTTTGACGATGGTGTTTGGAATGTCGAGCGTAATTCCACCGACTATCCAAACACCATTGTCAAACTTTTAGGCTTACGGGAAAGCGGCGCCGAACGTCACACGTACACGTTTACACGTTTAAAACGTGCGCCTCAACCTCTCTAATAACACCTGATTCTGGTAGAGAATTAAAATCACCACAGAGAAGAAGAGGAATGTTGTTGACATCGTGTTTCTGAGAACCTGGATAAAATACTGCATTGGCTTCTTCAGCAATAGTATAAAGTTCATGCATTAGCATCATGGTTTGGATAAGTTTAACATCACAGAATTCTGGATCCCAATGAATATGAGCTGTACATGCTAGAATTGATTGTGCATGATTCAATTCTGGTTGGAGACCATTTGAATATGCCCCTTCTTTAATTTGAAATAATGCAGCTAATCCAATGTTATCTTTAGTCATAACTCTGTTTAGCATATCATCAGAACCTTCTGCATTTGCCATTGCAAGTTGATTGAATTCAACTAGATATTCTTTTATTAATGTAAACTTGCTAGCACGATAAAAGATTGCACATCCATCTACATGTTTCCTTTCTCCTTCTGACATTGTCTTGGCTCTGGATTTTGGAGAAAATATTCCACTAAACCCTTCTCGTCTTAATTCAGGTAAGAAGAAGTTGTAAAACTGTTCTGTTTCTATCTCTTGAAGTGATATTATATCTGCAGAGTAATGCCGAATTTATTCATAATTCCTTTCCTTCTGTATTCCCAAGACAGAGCCCAACTTGGACAATAGCCATACATTTGTCTTGTGGCATATTTATCACACAAGACATTATAACACATCACAGTAAAAACACACGCTGGCCGTGTTCTTGTTGGAGGATTAATTGTTACCCATGGTCTTTCAGGTGGTTCTGAAGATGTAACTGAAAGATTATCTAGAAGAAATGATAGCAACTTTTGAGTCCCATTTGATTCACTATAAATGACAAAAAGTTCAGGAGAGAGTGGATTGCCTTTTAAACCAAGATTGCTTAGTTGAAATAATCTTCCAAGTTCAAATGGGAGGCTTCGAAGAAAGTTGTTATTGAGCAACAATTCACTCAATGAAACAATATCACCAAGTTCAGGTGGTAAATGTCTTAATTTATTAGATGATACATCTAGATGAGTGAGGCAACTAAGTCTAGCAATCTCTGGAGGGATGTGGGACAAATTGTTATCATTCAGGTACAGAGAAGTTAAATGATTCATTTTCCAGAGTGCCGGACTGAGATTACAATTTGTTCCTGTTATCTCCAACTCTGGCCAATAGGATTTTTTACCGGCTGCCATATCTTCTGGTGACATAATGGTATGAGCCCTACGAGAATTTGTAAACTCATTCTTTTCCTTTTGAAACGGCCTGAACATGAGTAATGCTTAATAATAATAATTAAAGACTAACCGTCATTTACCATATATATATATATATATATAAATATATAACCAAAAATATATTCAGAATAATAAAAATAATAAACTTCTTATTTTATATGTAGGACTTCTTCCAATGATTTTTTGGATATTCAAAATATAAAAATGCAAAATTAAAATTCAAGGAAGAAACAAATTTTTTAAATTTAAAAAAATTATGAAATCCAAAATAAGCATTAGTTACTATATTAATGAAATGTAATTATTTCACGTGCATCTTAATTATCATCTTACACGATAAGAAATAGTGATTATTTATGAAATGAATTTCACAAATATGACATCTATCAGAATCCTTTCCAGCCCTGTAGATAGTTCCTATTTAATTTCTATACTGGACCAATACACACATACATAAATAATATGAAGTTAGCAAATTCCCCACATTCATGTGATTTAAAATCCTGAAGTTTTCAATCTTACAATAAAGTATAAAACTGGTCACAATGTTACTCTTAGTTTCATTTCAATAACAAACTTTTCCAATAGTACAGAAACTACTTCAATCTATATAAATTTCATAAAATAAATATAACTTACAGACTATTTTATCTACTGGATCATAATCATCAAATTCAATAAATGCAAATCCTCTTTTTCTTCCTGTTTCTTTTTCAGTAACAATACTGCAGTTTACAATTTTTCCAAACTGATCAAAATACTCTCTCAAATCATCTTCTTCAACATCTTCCTTCAGACCACCAATAAAAACTTTTTTCACAGTTGCTTGAGCTTCTGGTTTTCCAGAATCCTAAAATTTAAAAATAAAAATTAAACAAGTTAAGAAAATTTGTATATTATAATGTGTAAAAATTACTTATATATGAACTGTACTTGTACAAGTATAGGAAAAACTTTGTACAAATGCAGAACATTCTTAAAATTTCTTTTAGAAAGTGCTATTTCTTGAAGATTGTTTAAGAGGATTCAAAATGTTTAAATAAAGAAATTTTTATTGCATTAGATGGTTGTGAGGTTGGTAATATTAATTATTAAAAGGTTTTCTTCTGAATTATTAAACATCCATATTAGTAGTTTTAAGTTTCAATCTCAAAACTTTTTTCTAGTTAGGCTTTTAAAATTATTTCACAATATGTTTTAATAAAAAGTGAAATTCTAATGTAAAGATTAATACTAACAGAAATTAACAACTATCATTAATGAAAAAAAAAAAGAAAAAACATTTTTCTGAAACTTCTTAATATAATAAAAATTATACAGATATAATTCTTATGATTAGTATATTTTTTTATTTGTAGTTTAATATTTAAGTTAAAACCTAAATCACTAAATACAACCATCTATACAAAAAACTATTATAGGACAATTAGGCTAAGACTCCACTACCGTAAAAACGGTGTAAAAACCCCTCGCCGTAAAAACTTTTAATCACGTGACCTATTTGCATTTGCGCTGGGATTACAGTGGAGGTCCAGCCAGGGCGAAGTTTTTACGCCGACGGTGCTGCCCAAAGTGTCGAAAGTAAATACTTCTTCGCACGTGAATTGGTGGAAACGGAAGACGGTTGTATATGTGATATATCGATAAAAAGACAATGATTATATTCTATGAGTATTTTCTGTACTATAATTACAAATATAGTAAAAATAATATCGTTACTTTAATATACTAACTTTTATTATCGTATTATTAAGATAATATACAGCACTTTAAAAGCTTAGCTTTTTTATTATATACTCCTCTAAATTGAAGGATTTCTTTTGGTATCCATTACTATAATCAGGTTATCTCTTGTCGTAGATACACGAATACTTTCGATAAATCTTTCCGGATCTATTCTAGGGTAGCCACGAGAGAATGTACACAAAAACTCGTTTTCCGCCATTTTAGCTAGTGTCACGATGACCTAGATTTCACTGACTTCTGATTGGTGTAAGGTACCTCTTTATGGCCATATTCGCGTCGAAAGTTGAACATAGCTCAACTCGCTTTTACACTGGTTTTACAGCCTGCTCAGGCGTAAGATATCAGGCTCATGTGATTAAAAGCTTTTACGGCGAGGGGTTTTTACGCCATTTTTACGGTAGTGGCGTCTTAGCCTTAGGAAGATTTTTCTTATTTTAACATGTTATTTTACTTTTCTAGATGTTATAAAACAACAGAAAAAAGTATTGTGATCAGTCAAATTTTGGTTTCCCTGGTTTTTGCAATTCAATGTTTTGACACTCCACGAGCCCAAGAATGTAAAAACACCCATTACAAAATTATACATGCATGCACACATCTATTTGGGCTGCACTTTGAAAATTGTAGACTTATAAGATACTACTAAAATTGAGAGCAAATATTTTAAATTAAATAAATTTAAAATAATGTTGCAATATCACAATAAATAATTGCTCATTTGCATTATATCTCAACTGGATAAAACAAAAATTTTGAATTTTGACAAGACACATGGGGCACTAATGCTATTAAAGGATTAAACCAAATAATTTATGTAAAAATTGCCCCCAAACCAAACAGATTTTTTTTGTATATAGCATGTGATTTGTCTGAATATTAAACCACAGTGTAGCAAATTTTAAGTCCTTAATTCTAACTTCTTATTATTCATAGGCTTTAGCAGTAATATACAGTATATAATAAACCCTCACTAATCTGACATATCCTCCAGCATGATCATTTCCATGAAAATGTTAGTCACATTTCCCGGTCTTTTACTTGTCCCAGGATTCCGGAAAAAAAAAATGAACTGGATCTCGGGATATAATAAATTATTTTTCATTTTTTAAAGTACTTAATATGTACTGCAATTTCCAAAATCATATTAATAATAATGCTACGTGAAACATATATTAAAAATTACTTTTGAATTACGTAGAAATTTTCATAAATAGAAAAAATTTATTAAACTTTGTTGGAAACTGCTTACAACTAAAAAAAAAAAAAAACTTAGATCAAACATCTAAGTTAGAAGGCAATTTTTGTTTTTTAAATAAAACATAATACAAAATATTATTGTAAATTTTTATAAGATTTTAAAAAGCAAAGATAGTCAATACCCTGATCACTCAATCTGATTCTTATTTTAATAGAATGCCTTTTTTTGATTCAATTGATGTGGACGGAATTGTCTTTAATTAATGCATTTGAGGAGACGGATGTTGTGTGTTTTTTCACCTGTAGCTTGGAAGATTTATAGTTCATTTTCGAGATGCATTACAATACTTCTTTTGCTGTCTAGTATTCTTGATTTGTCTACCTTGGCTATTTTATTAATAGCATCGAGCTTACAGCCCGATAATTCAGCAATTCATTTGGCTTTAATAACAAGGTTTATAAAGAAAAACTTCATACTTGTTTGTATCATTGCCCAATTTGCACAACCTGGCATAACGCAGTTACTGAAGTTACTGGGCATGGTTAAAAATTAAGACAGCATCAATGCAATTATTTCAGATATTACAGGTTCTTACAAGTAAAGAATTTTCAGAGTTCTGTCGCAAATAAGCTACACATTGATTATTGACAATCTGTGATATGCCATAACAAGCAAAAATTTAAAAAACTAATAAGCAAGTTTAAAATCAATAAATTCAAATATATTCTGACGGTTTGTGAGTTAATTATACTTTCTATTTGCAAAATTTCCTCAACTTTAACATAAAATAACGAAAAAGTAAATTTTAAAAAAATTGATGAAATTTCCCAGGTTAAAAACAGCAGAGATCCTGTTGGAGAAATCATAGTCAAGTCACACACCATTTTCCTGTTTAGTTGGTTTCATTTCTGCATGCTATATTATTTGCCCACTTGTCTCCAAAAAAAATTGGTACTAAAGAGTGACAGATCATGTCATCCATTGCTTTTAGGCCTACACTATACTCTGGCACTGCTCTGCAAGGAATGACCAGATTAACAAGAGGCACTGTATAACATTTCCTGTAATTGTTTTACAACTTATTAAAATAAAAGCTTGATACAATTATCAATTTGACAATAAATATACAGTTGAGTAAATTATTTAAATATGAAATTTGCATTAACTTTTAAAAGTATTTTAATAAAAAAAATAAAACACCCAAAGTTTAAGCTAGCAAAAAATTTTCTGTAGTATTTAACCTGTCCTGTGTTGTTCCTGAAAATATTCAGGTTGACCTCATTGACCTGCATGGGCAATCCCGAATATTTTCGTGTTTACATCGGAACGTTTTTGATACTAGATGTTGCTATGCATAACAATTTTTATATTAAAACGAACTTTTGAAATATAGTTTTTTTGTTGTTGTTTTGTTTTTCAATATATTTATTTTCTTTGTGCAACACAAAAAAATAATTTTTAATGACACAGTGAACACAATTATTATTTAAAAAATTTGTTACGCTTAACATTGACGAAAATTAAACATGGCATCACAGGCAACAGAGAAGAATTTCAACATTGAATTTTAAGCTAAGCTAATTTTACTAAAAAATTGTAGCAAAATTTTAGAAACTAACATTTCTCATCCATGAGACTGCCCAGAATAATACACAACACGTTACTGTTTAAACACTTGTTTATTCTCATAGATACGATACATTATTACAGTGTACTGCACTATCAATATAACCATAAATCTACCGTTTCAAACCCACAAGTATTGTACATTAGAGATGTTACGGCAAAAATTCAAACGTTAAGCTTGTATGGCAAGTAGATGTACATGTTTGACATTTGAACTCCAAGTAAAATACGTTGTGCCACATGTTCATGTCACGCACGGACTCATAGGATACTGTTGAAAAATGGCAGAAACGTTTAACAACGACGAATGTTACCAGCAAAGGTAAATAAACAAATTAAACTATTTTAAAGTATTTATAGGATGATTAATAACACTAAATAATTATTTTTAATTAGCATCATGTCTACTACTGTACAATAGGACCACCTCATACTTTTGTTGGTAGTAGTAGTGGCTTACGTAAATCTGAAAGCAGCCTGGGAAATTTTTAGAAAATTTACAAACATATTACGCTGCTGATGGTAGAAAATGCTGTGAAAGAACAAACCTACTCCTACAGAATTATGATAAGCTATTATGAACAAAAATATATGTAAATTCTATAGGCACTTTACATCACCTACAAAAAAATTGAATAATTAAATAATTTCTGGATTAAAGTCGTGTTTATTTATTTAAGCATTTATGAATAATATTGTAATCATTATTTTAATAAAATACGTCATAATTTTAACTCCAAACACAAAAAAATGAAGTTTCAGCCAAACTTCTACTCGCCATGCTAGACATAGTACGCGCCATTGTCAACCTTCTAGAATTGCCATATGGCAACATGCGACGTCCAATGTTCATGTTTTGGGCTGAAAACCTCTCTATATTGGCTGGTGTGAATCAAAATCAAGAAGGATTATTCAATAAATCCTTCTTGATTTTGATTCACACCAGCCAACAAACACTGAATAAAACTCAATTTCCATCTTGGGGCCATTTATGGAGACATTTAACAAATTGCTGATATTTCTTAATCAAGACATTTTCCAATTGGAGTGTTTTTAAATGTCATCTCACTGAAACTTTTAACACTCAACAGTGTGTAAAAAAACAAATTCAATAACTAACTGTTGGAAAAAATGTTATTAATGTTATAATTTTTAATATTAAATGTATGAAGAAACTTTCTGAAAGATAACCTCCACTGAGACTAATAACCATGTTCTATGTAGCTGTTGCTATAACAAATGTATTTAGTGTTTTGAACAAACTGATCTTTGTATCCTAA